TATTTTTAACCACGAACTACATTCACAATAAGAAATAACAAAGTAAGAGATAACGATGCTTCTAATGACCGATTTCTCTGTGACAAGATAATTGCTCTAAAAATCTATCGTTCCACCGAACGTGGACTATCACGTGGAAAAAGCCATGAAGGATTACGCGAGAACCGTTAAAGCAGAAGTTATTATGTTCTTGGATTCGTTTCGACGAGTACGAGGTGGTTAAATTATGGTTTCTACGAGAAGTAGATGAATGGTAACGCCTCCGTGAGTATTCCGTTTGACAAAGAATGACGAAGGATCGAGTGATGTTTCTGCTAGTGGAGAAAGGATAATTCTATTCTCGACAGTTGCTCGCAACGGTACCTAATATATAGGCAATGCAAGATTTCTTCGAGATATCTCAGTATTCCATTTTTCTTCTACTTTCGAATAATCTCTGTATCGACCCATCCCGGCTATCTAGATTTGAGTTAGCTTTGAATTGAATTATCTTCACAAAAATATGAAGATTCACGGTCTACTTGTACTACTACGTTAGATTAACATTGCTTTATGATTTTCTTCTGAATTTGCTTAGATAAGCATTGGTCACTGTAATTTGTTATATCGTTTCAAAACGTTATATATATTAGATTATCTCGAAAGTTTCTTTAATTGATTGTTTATTGATGAATTACGTGTACGCAATATTTTATATTTTATACTACGCTATTGAATTATTTATAATCGATGCTGGCCTATTATCTTCCTGCATCTCTCTGAAAGTCTCATAATGCCATCTTTCCAAAACTTCCAGCAAAATATTGTTCCAGGTGCATTTTTATGTCGCGAGATACATCATCGAGCCAAATCTTTTACCACGGACGGAATTTTTTAATGAAAGAAACAGACAGTAATTAGACGAAGATATTCTATTTTATTCTTTATACTTTCTGTGTAGTATACTGCTCCATCTGTGCATTGGCGCCACGATACTAGAGTGGAGACTTCAATGCCCGCAATACGCGGCATACTGACTCGCTGGGATAATTTCTGGGTTATACGATCGATTGGATAATGTTTAATAGTTCCTACAAACTACGGATGAATAAATATAAGAGTGTTGCAATTGAAACGGACGATTTCACGAGCGTGCAATATCATTCATAACTTAAACTAATTAAAAGAGTTGTTACAATAACATTTGTTGAACTCGAAGCTAGTTAAACACAATATGCTTTGTGTTTTGCTGTAAAAGGATGAATTATGTATTAAAACAAATAAAGTTTTAAATTCTAATTTTAAACGTTAATAATAAGATATAAGATACGAAAAATGTAGATTAGATAATACAAATCATTAAAAATGGAACAATGAGCATCTAGAGATTTTAATTTTAATAATTGTAACATTGTAATGTATCATAATGATCAAAATGTATGAACGCGATCGACGCTATTTTCAAGAAAGACATACATAAACGTTGAAACTTTTATTAAGGTTTTGGTCAATTCATGTGCAATGATTTAATGCATAAGCAGTTGGATCTAAATCAGTATTAAATGAATTAAATAAATTAATACAATATATATATAAATAAATATAATAATATTAATAATATTAATAATAATAAATAAATACAATAATATTAATAATATTAATAATAATAAATAAATATAATAATATTAATAATAATAAATAAATATAATAATATTAATAAATAATAATGTTATTAAATAATAAATATTATAAAATAATAATAACATTTTACTACAGTCCAATGATAAGTAAGAAATAATTTGGATAGGTTTTAAAAAGGATCGAAATTAACCTGAATCCATGATACAACGATGCTGCCAAATATTACGTAATCGTGCAATTACGTGTAATCGTCGTAGCATGAACCGTTTAAATAAGAGTCAAGGTCTCTTGACCAGCGAAAATTAATTATTCCAGTGGAACAGATGAGAATTAACATTATTCGCCAATTAATTTGTATCAGATCCGTTAGCATAATGGCTTCGATCCGTTTAAGAATATCTCGGTCTGATTTGGCTGGCATTCGTGTCCCACTTTATCGTTTTCTGAAAATAAAATTAGTAGTACCGTAAGAAGAAAAGTGATATTTCATGTCCAGAATCTGTGACAATTATATGCTATTAGGTATCCAAACAAATCGATCAAACTATAACAATTAATAATATAGCTTGAAGACTATGCACATATTTTTTATTATCTACCAATACAGCTTTCAAGGATCATCATCCTCGATGATGTCACCTATAAATGTATCTGCATTCGTGAATAAAATTTCTTATTATTCTTTACAATTATGAAATAAATGTATATGAGGGAAATGTAATAATACCTACTTATAAATACGTTTTCCCTTGAATTGTTGTATATTAAAGTAACTAAAATTTAGAGTATTTGATTTTATTTTGTATCTTTTTACGATAGAAAGATTAGTAATTAAAATAAAAATTAAATAACGCCCAATTATATCAGTTAAATGTGAATAGTAGAAAAATCTAATCTAAAATTTGTTTACTATCATCTACGATTATAAAGTAAAACGACTATGAACTTAAAAATATGATGTCGATATCTGATATAAAAATTAAAATAATTTAAATAATTTTATTAATGAAACTTAATATGAAAATTGAAATAAATGAAATATTTGATTAATGAAATTTACTTTCGCTTGCGTAGAAAAAGAATTAATACGATCTAAATATGATTTTGATGTCGTTCTGTGCATGCCACAAACCTAAGTTGTCTAAGCATTAAACCGTAAGTTGATAATTTATAACATTCTCCGTTCCTTGCCAAGGTTGCTCGTTCGTCAAATGTTTTTTTTTTTTTTTTTTTTGCACGGTGTACTGCATCGGTAACAAGTGCAGCTGCCGATGTGGAAAGAAAGGACCTCGGTTCAGCGAACACAGCGGAAACTGTCACCGCTCGTTCATGCGAAATCCATTTGCCGCAAGTGTAACCGTTTCACTTTTATGAATTATTACTATTGCGATCGACCGAGATTCGTTGTTGCCTCGCATTTATATCTGTCCATTTGGTTTTCAATCTTTCGCTGGAATCTACGCAACTGCAAAAATATCGTGCGCCGATTAGGACGGAATTCGTAATGAAAAAACAAGGAATTTTTTCCTATTACAGCAAGAATTAAACTATTTCAGTTGCTCGAACTGTTTCTACAGTTTCACTAATTAGTTTCATTGATTAAGAAATTCTGTTCATTTCGAAACGATAATTGGATATTATGTTAAATTTCAATTGATTGAAAGGAAATTAGGCAAATTGACAAATTTTCAAACTCGTTTTCTTTTCTTTTTTTGCTTTTTAGCTTTTTTCAATTGTATACTATGCACTGTATATTGTTTTAATTGTTTATATCCAATCATCTAGGTATGCATATTTTAGAAATTTTGTTTATCGTTTCAGAAATGCGTTGGTTTCGTGGCCACGCCGAGGCGCCAAGACTTTTAAGCTTAAGCCCCCTTCAAGTTGACGAAGACCTTGACGGAGCGTCTTACCACTTTCATGCCGCGTCTCAGTACAGAGGTAAGAATCGTGAGAAACCACCGATACAATTACCACACACTGCCAAGACCAGGATGCGCCGTGAACTTTCGTAACGCGAATTACAATCATTCTGAAGTTAATCAACGGCTGATTGCATCTCATCGAAATCGAACGTAACTTTCAACCAAGCGCACCATGTGCTCCTCTCGCTTCACTTTATATCCACAAGATGTACAAATTTTTAATTAACAAATTATCGAAACAGCTATTAAAATATGTAGAACAGCGATCTAGATTGTCTAGATTACTTGCGGATTTTCAGGGATTTGAAAATTTTTATAAACTGAAGAAATGGAAGCTGAACGAAAATTTGCCTCATCTCTATTGTTATACATACCATAATAAATATTCCAATGCGTGCATTTTTCTAATTTCTAGTTCCTCATAAATAAGCATGAGCATGGCGTAGTCTAGTTATAAAATGTTTATTGGGTAATAAACAATGTACGACATGAACAATTTTTTCTCTCGTGTATGTGTTCGTCGATGATACTTAGCGTGTCGTTTCGTTAAAACCGCTTTCGAAAGCGAAGAAACTTTGCATAGTCTGTTCTGGCTATCACCGTGAGAGTCTGTTTTTGCGAAGCCAGCCTGCAGTCGACTACGAAAGAGGAGAGATTTACCTCGTTCGCCACGATGAGCTCAGCAACCTCACGCTCGACGCGTGAACATGCTTAATAACTCGGCATTGTATGAAAATATTCGTCACACAGAAGTTGGAAATTGCGACTGTGAATCTTACGAATCTCTACGTTGTTGTATTTGGAAGTATTTGTCGCTCGGAGGGTTTTGAAATAAATCAGTACGGTACTTTCAGTGATAGAGATTTGTAACGTGTCAACACGATAGATAAGGCTTCCTTTATTCAGTGCGTATGAAGCAAAAAAAAAAAAAAAAAACAATCTCGCTTTTATAACTGTCCCCGATGATTCTAATTTATTGCTTGATTTTATCACGAAAGTATGTTGCAAGAATTAAAAATATTTCGGCGATTTAATCTTTAGAATCTCTCGGACGGTGATTAAATTAAGTTTAACATTTTTCAAATTCTAGGTATACTATAAATCAAGTTCTAGGTATAGCATAGTCGAAAAGAAAAATGTCATCTGAAAACATTCCAAAACTTAATTAACTATCAGAATATTTGGAACGATGACCAATAACTAGATTTTCGATATTTTTTTCGATATTATGTTCGACTTATCATTAATTCTAAATCTTTTTTAAGTCGTTTAGAATCAATGATAATACGTGTAAAACGTTGCGGACATTTTTAATGCGATAGCACTGTCTTTTCAAAATTTGAACTTCAATCTAACAATGCGAGATTACAAAGCGAGGATGCAAGTAATCGCGAAATAATGACGAGATTAGTAGATAAGCGCATTCTTTCGGGTAAAAGTAGTAAGGTTGTTAAGGTTGTTAATCTCGGTGTACATTTACGTAACGTACGTAATGAACGTCATTACCGGAAAACCACAGTGTTAGTTAATGCGTTTCTGCGAACGTACTGTGACAACATCATTGTGGTTTTTGGCGGTGATGCACGGTCAACCTGCTATCATTCCCTCCAACAGTCTCGTTAATTTTTGCAACCGAAACCGCTTCGTTCGCGTCATACTGCAGGACTTTCTACAGAATCAAGCGACCTTCTCTGCTCGATTATACGAAAGGAATACGGCTGTATTTTGCCAAGTCAGTCTCGTAACGCTAGATAAAAACCTCGTGGCATTACTGGCCGACATCAACTCCGCGACGTTACGTGGACGTTAACGGGTTTCCTCGTGGTAAAAACGACAGGTGGTTAAGGATTTCGTAATGCTGTGTTGTCTGCGGGCGAGGGGGAAACTACAAATCATTTGAATCGGCCGCCGTCGAGAAAATTCCGGAAAAATCTCGTGGAAGTCACGGTTTTCAAATTCTTACGTAATGCGTTATAATCAGTCTGAGTGGTTTGTACTGTCACTTAGAAGTATGCGGATATTCCTTCTTCATTTTTCGCGTATCTGTTTGAAAAGAAGATACGAAATCATTGATAAATTCGAATGAATTTATGGTGTATTCATATATTATGTTTGCGTCGCATCAGAGAATATATTATTAAATATTTCACGTTTATGACAATCAATTCGAGTGAAATAAATTATTTTTATTTTAGTTTATTTTGTTTATCGATGGAACAGGCTCCTGTATTGTTATACAGTCGTGATGATATAAATAGAATATAACAAAAGGAATTAACATATGAAAATAAGGTAATTCAATTTTGCAGGTATTTTTGCGGTGATGTATTGATGAAGCAATAAAAAGACAAAGTAAAATCTGCAGAACGCAGAACGTGATATATGTAAATTAAGAATATGTAAATTTCAAGTTACACGGTGTTTCTGTTTTCTAAATTAGATTCCAGTTTCCCCCCCCCCCCCCTATATTTATGTAAGTACGAGAATTTACATAATAATCCATGGTTTATAGTTAGATTGCATTTTTGCGTATTTATATATCTAGAATTTCAATTTTGTACGGCAAGAAATCATGTTAATAGTTTTTGCTTTTCAATCAACTCGTCTCGCGTATTGCGAGTGAAATCGTTTGTTTTTTTTTCCATTTCTGACTGTTCGTCGTGTTACGTTTACCGCAAAATTGATCTTTTCTTTCTTTCCTTGCGAAACGTTTTCTTCAGTCGCCGTCGAACAACACGAAGGCCTATTCGTCGTGCAACTCTTAGCTCCAGTCTCTATTATTATCGTCGATAGTCGAGAAATATAGATATCGAGTGTAGCCGTACTTCCTGCAATTCTCTAAACTTGTACGCTCTGGCATTTCATCCCAGACAGAGAAATCTACCGGTCCCGAGCATCTGTGCAATTTAATTTATATTACGAAATTATCCCCATCATATTCCTGGTGTGTAACATCATCGACAACTAGCTATTACCATTACCATGTTTTTGGAGATGATCCTCGTACCATTTTCATATCACATTCTATCATATCGATTTAAACCGGTTAATAATAGGAATTAAAGTCAGAAAATATGAATAATGTTGTTGCATCTACACCGAAAATTATTTATTGAATTGAACGTGAACGCTCTCTTACATGCATAATTATTCTTAAGAGATGACCAACTTAATTCTTGGTTATAATATCATTATTTTCTACATAAATTAGCATTTAGTATATGTCAATAAAGTTGTAAGTTAAAAATTAACTGTACAAGCTGTAGTTTCAATCTGCCAAAAATATAGAAATTACAGTACTTGTTGTTACCTTAAATTAATTAATAGTACAAAAATTAATGCTACAAAGTAAAAAAAAAATCTAAATGTCATGAAATTATTAATTACTAATTAAAATTGTTAAGAGAACGTGAGGCATAAACAGTTGTCACCGATGGCAGGAAAGCTTTCGCATTTCAAATTTTCAGCGATAATAACTTCTGGATCTTGAGATATATCACCCTAAAAATTTTTTGAAGAACCTCCTCACGTGTTTCTGATACAAAATTCAAATTTTTAGCAAGATATATCTTCTCATTCACGAAACATTCGCGCTTAAAATTTTTTTGAAAATTGTGCCACCTTCTCAATGCACATTCAGAAATATTATTTAGAAATTCACTTCTAAAATTTGGTCGACGTGCACGCAACGGAAGTTTAATTGGTAATGAGCTCAAGGTTAATCTGATGTTTTTGTCGGCAGTGATACGGAAAAATTGACAAGTTTTGTTAATATACCGAAAAACAGTTTTTCTATACCAATCAATAATTTAATAATTTTTACATTTCTATCGCAAAGTTCTACGAATTTATTACAAATTTCAAATACAATAATTTTTTACAGGCTAAAACTAAATTTATATTTTGCATTGATGTATATTAAATTCTTGCAGTCAGAGAGTTTCACATAATATCTTTTTCTTCAGTGTATAATTTCATATTATTCTAGATCGCGTCAATTTATAATTTATAATTTTATCCGTTGGTAAAATTCTACCATAGAAAAAAATAATAGTATATCTATAAGATTGTAGGTATAGCAGAAATTTTGTTCACGTTTTAAATTAGATCCTTGCTGGGCAAAATTTGGTAAAAGATATTTCAAATGCCATTGAAAATATTCGATATTGCATAGTTTGAAAAGAATAATATTTTGAATTAGAATTTTGGTATTTCGGTTTCAAATACTATTTGCAATATGAAAAATGTGTTGCAATTAACTTAATATTAAAAGTCTATTATACGTTGCAATAAATTTTTAGTGTTAAAAAATATTTTGTTTATAAAATAATAATAATAAAATATTCCATTTTTAAAGTTGTACGTGTAATGTTAAAATAGATTATTCATCACTTAGTATTACTAAGCACTATTTTGAAAAGTTAGCTCCTATAAAAACTTGTGAAGAAAAAGAAATTGATTTATCGCTCGCGTGTTAACAGAAGCAACTTCAAGGAAAAAAAGAATTAAATAACTAATGGACAAAAAACTATTGAATGACCAAACGATGGACCAAAGCCAAGAAATTTTGAAACTTTACAAAATCATGAAATCTAGGTGGAAGAAACACAGCGACGAAGAAAATATTTTCTCGATCCTTGAACCTACATTCATAACTACCGTGTTAATAATTATTATTCGATAGTGTAAATTGATTAAAAAAAAAATTGTAAAAAGATGAAGCACTCTAAGTCGATGCATCGTTTGCCCTTAAGTCGAAATTATCCCCAGATTCATTTATAAGAAATTCGTCACTTCCGACCATTCATCCTTCGATTCCTCAGCCAGCTCCGTTTCTTTCGATTCGTGCGACTATTTTTACTATCACTCGAGCAGAGTACTCACGTGTGTTGCTCATACGGGATATCCTGCCTTCTGCACGACGTTTTAGGCTTGCGTCGAAACTCATATAGTGTCATGCTTCGCAGAAGGCGGTCATTTTCGTCGTGGCTGTCACAGTCGAACAAAGTTTCAACTCGTAACGTGTCGCGCGCGTTTTCTGCTTGCCGAGCAAAGGCCGATCGTCTCCTTAAAAGGATGACTAACGTCTGCTGCGATAGTCTGTTGTACGTGGACAATTCGAAAAAGATCGTCGACGTCCAGCAATTTTTTAAATGTAATTTCCATTGTTCCTTTAATCTGTTTGGTGGATTTTGAACTTTTTCTTTATCGAATGAATTCGTGTATTTCTTTGTTTCGATGTTGTAGTCTTTGAAGTGATTCAGACGTTGAAGTGATCGAGAGTTATCTTTGCGACTGGTTAATAAGTGATTCTTGACAGTGTGAAATATGTTTAAAGTGAAACTGCGGATTTCTATGTCTTTATAAGAAAATATACTGTGTATAATTTATATATTTCTTTCTATTTTGAAGTATAATTTAAATTATATTCTTTTTTAGTGCCACATTTAATAAAATTTAATTATGTTCTTAAAAATTCGCAATCTAATTGTGAACTATCAAGTACAGTGTTTTCTATAACATTTACTAAATTACTATTACTACTTATTTGATTATATTCTCAAAAATTTGCATAAAAATCCACAGTCTACTTACGAATTGTTTAAATAAGATTATTTTTATAACGATTAAATCAGCATTTCTAAGAAACAACTTTGTATTGATCTAGCATTAAGCTGCAATGATGCTTTTATATATTTCAAGTAATTTACTCTGTTTTCTAATAAAAGAAAAATTGTGAATTTAAGTATTACATTTTCATGAATCTTTTGTTTGGTAATTGTGCCATGCTGGTTTAACTGTTTGATTTATTAATGATTCGAACATGACAATCATGGATATTTTAAACAGCCTCTACATTCATCGTTCAAAGCCTTAAGATCAGAATTTTTAAAGGAAAGTCAGACTGGTAGTGATGAAATGGAGGTGCAAATAGCACTGACAAACATTTCAGTGGACGTTATGAATATAGCAAAGCGCGATATAGCACACTTGCGACGTAAGTGACACCAAGAAAAAAAAAAAAAAAAAACTGGCAGAAACCTGTTTTCCAATATAACTACAATTTAATTTGTTAATCTTTGTGAAGAGAAAACGACGTACACTTGTTCACATTGAAATGATTGCAATTCGTGAAAAGATGCATTTATAATCAAGAACACGATACAAATGAAAACCCAGCTAAATAGTATGATAATAAAAAATAACGTAAAAAATAATGAATTATAGTAATATTAGTTTCTCTCTAAATTATGAGAAATGATACCGAGGACACACTCTTGCAACATTTTCGGTCACAGCGGTTTTTTTTTCAAAGTTGTGTCACTTTCATCGTAAGTATGCGATATAAAGAATTCTAAATAACTTTATCTGAAAACACTTTCGAAATAAAGGACCCATAATTTTGTTTTCAAGCATCAATAAATATGGTAACTTTCATATTCACAAATTGAATAATTCATAACTCTCAACTTCGATTTTCAATTTTTAATATTCACAAACTGTGTGATTTATAATTGGAAACATTTTTTACATTCAGAAATCGAACGACCATTAGTTAAGAACACACTTTAAATTCATGAATTCATAACTTTTTAATTTCAGAATATTGATTTATACTTCTTGAGTTGAACAATGATTTATATATGTAAATTGAGTGACGCTTGTCAACTGAAAGTTACCTTTATATTATCATTATTATATATTTTATATTCGCAAATCGGATGTTTCGTAATTCATAATCGACTCTGCGTTCGTAGACTTGTCTCCGGTGCGATGGGCTCGCCGGAAGTCGTCGAGCTCCGAGTCGGAGCGCAACTGTTACAACGTGCAGACGTCGCAAGTGACCACCGAGCGGAGTCCCGCGAAGAAGAACAAGAAACGAATCCAAAAGGAGAGGCGAGTCTGCGAGAAACGGAACCCGCTTCTGGATCGCGTGAAGAACACGAGACTGAGCTTCTTCAAGGACCGCGACTCCGACGACGAGGGCAAAGAAGATGACGAGGATCCCGACAAGCCGCAGTTTCGCTCCATGTGCGAGTTGAACGAACGTGGGCTGATGAGAAACGAATTTCGTCGGTCGGTCTGCGAGTCAGACTTGAAGGAGATCATCGAGGAAGAAAAAATCCAAGCGAAGAGGAAACGACGTTCGAAGTCGCAGAGCAGGCTGCCTCATCGAAGGCTGCCTCAGCAAGAGGAACGTTTCTCTTTCCTAGGTTTCCGGCCGTCCGCTGGCCAAAGAGTGATGGACTTGCCCAAGGACGTGATCGAGGAGACCATTGACCAACAGAATCGCAAGTGGCGAAAGGACCATCAAACGCCTAGACGATCGATGGATCACGTTCTGGAAGGTACCGCGGAGCCAGCTTTCAAAGACGGTTCCCAGTTCGACAGCATAACACCATCCAGCTGTTTGGCTGCGAAGTTCCGAGCGATGCAGGACAGATACCTGAAGAGCTCTACCAGCAAGATAATAGCGAAGATTTACAAGAAAGAGGGCAAGGACAGGGAGAAACGGAGACTGAGAAGCTTCTCGTACGGTGCTCTGCCGGGCCTCGAGGAGCTCCGAACGAATCCCCTTTACGAGGAACAAGATCAGGACGACAACGACTCTGGCATCCTGGACAACGACTCCGCGACCAGCTCTCTGCTCGACGACAGGTGCAGCAGCAGCGCTTCTGGCTTGTTGAATGGCCCCAACGACTCGTCCCTGAACTGTCCGCCCCAGTTACCACCGAGGAAACCTTCCTCGTCCGTTGTCGACGTAGAAAGAACCGCGAGATTGTTCTCCAGTCTGGACATCTACTGTAGCAGAAACGAGGGCAGAGGATGCAGGAAGAACGCGTTCAGATTGAACGCCCTCGACGATTCTTCGAGTCGGATCTGTCAAGCGGCGAACAACGAGCTGATTGATCGGCGAGATCGCGGTGGTTCCAAGTTTGGCGAGGAGGAGAAAGCAGCTGTTATCGAGAGGGTGGACGACAAAGATTCGCTGGGATCGGAGAGCCATCAGGGTGGTAGGCTTCCAGTGATTAGGAGCAGACCTTACACCACGGAGACTATGGTCGTGAAACTTCCTAGGGAGTGTTCCGACCAGTGTCTCGGCATTTTCATCGCGAAAACGGCAGAATCTAGCCCTGGTTATTTGGTGGCTCACGTGGTGCCCAATGGTCTGGCCGATAAGGAAGGGACCTTGAGGATAGGCGACGAGATTCTGATAGTTAACGGCAAGAGACTGCGAGGATTGAGCATGGCCGAGGCTAGGAAGATCCTTGGAAGTGGCAACGCGCCTGGCGACGTGGACATCGTCGTCTCGAGGTACACCGCCGTCGACCAGTCTTCGCCGAAGAAGCTGACGGAGAGCAGCGTGGACTACGAGAACGTTCACGTGGAGAATGGCCACGGTGTTGTAATGGAGAATTCGCCCGGTACGCACTTCAGGAAGCATCAGACGAAGCTTCATCAGAGAGATAGAAGAAACGAGTGCAACAAGTCCACCTCCTCGGACAAGGTGAACGCAAGCGTGAACAATAACGGGTCGCAGAGCGTTTCGAATTTCTGCACGCTACCAAGAAGGCCCAGGAACACCGTTTCGACGTTTTTAACGGTGGTGTTTCAGAAAGGTCCTGGGAAGAAGTCGCTGGGATTCACTATCGTGGGCGGAAGCGACAGTCCCAAGGGAAGCATCGGTGAGTGAACACTGGATTTTCATTTTTATTTCATTTAGATACTGGCGAATTATCTTCTGATTTTATTAGCAACGAATTAATTCTTTGTTGCAACGTGCTACGATGATGCAAGGTTACGATAAGGGGAATACGAGATGAAAATGCATGCTTAGGTTTCCGCCAGGTTTCTTCCTTTTTTTATTTTGTTGCCATTTGCCAGAGTCGCGCACAACAAAATCACGTAATTAAAATTGTAATTAAATTGGATAAATTATAATCCAACGGTGTTGAGTTGATACTAGCTATAATGAAAGGAGTGAAGTAAATTTGTACCATTTTTACACGAAATAAGAAAGAAAACGCAAAGAATTCTATTTCTAAACGTTCATCTAAACGTAAGTTTAAAGTCTACTAGTTAGATGTGACATTCATAATTGTACAATTATTGTAGTTTTATGTTTTTGTGTGTTTCTATGTATCATATACATCTATCTACCATCTATAAAAGAGTATTTACATTATTTTACGTAGATTAATCTTAGAAATAATTAACTAGATAATATGTAGTATTGTTTATTAGAAGATTAACAGTAACAAGGTTTAGTTGCAGATAAATGATCAATATCCGTATAAATTTGGTATACTAAATGTATTAAATATTAATGTAAATTCATGCTATTATAACATTAACTTTAAGGCTATTATAATTAACGTGCTACTTTATAATTCGAATGTAGCAAAAATGGTTAACAACTGTTATCTATTATGCAAGGCAACATCGTTACTATTCGTCATGTAATGCTAATTGAATTATACTTTGTAAGTAAATTAAGTGACGTTTAATCAACTTGAAGATAACACACGAAACTATTGTCTATTTTGAACACAATTCGAAGCAGCTACATTAAGAGTACAATTGCTTCGTTTAAATATTTTTTAAATATTAACAATTACAAAAGTCGTTCAGTAACAAAGCGTTATAAAATCTGCCCTAAGTTTTCATTACGATTAAGCCGAAAAGACCTTGGTGTTTTGTAGCAATTATTTTACTCGACGAAGACGCTTTGAACTTCTAACTTTGGATTAACCACTAACCATGTTAGAATGCTATATGTCATTGCGAACGTATTGTTAAGAAATTTCCAAACTTCAACATTTTCATCGTTCCTTAAAATTTTCATTTACGAGAGAAGCTTCTAACGTTAACCAGAACGATTCATATCGATCTAAAGATAAAAAATTTAAGATTAACTTAGCGATTAGGCATTTTAAATATTCTCGAAATTCAACGTAACCTACGTCCTTCAACGTTTCAATATTTAGAAACGAAATAACTTTATAAATCTCTAAATGTTAACGTTATCGTATCGCATTTAATACGACTTGCTAAAATCTTCGCAACTTCTTCAAGCTTCTTTCAAGCTTTCAACGCGATAGAAACTTTGAATATCGAAGTTTCCTCAACATTAAGAGCATAAGAAATACTTTCAACTTTCAATAAAATTCGCTCGCCTTGATCATCTTGCGTTAATTAAGGTTTCAAATGAAAAAGAACCATGTATCAAATATTTTTTTTAATTTTAATGGATTACTTGGAATCTCACTTCGGAACGAGGATAGGTACGAATTCTCGCTTTTTCACACCTTTTCAAACGCTAAAGTATAATAATATTTAACTCGTGATACGCATAACAAGTAAAAATTAATTTTTATCATAAATAGAAAGGATTTATATCTCCAATTTTGTCGAACCTTGCGGAAAGAATTTACTGTCAATGCTGGTAAAAATTTGTATTTTGTAATCTCAAGACAAAGATATTATTTCGATGAAAATTGGGTACTTGGGAAATCCTGAGTTTTAATTATGAAATATGAATTCTTTCTAAAATCGTTGCTCGAAAAATTTTAATTAATTACTTCAAATTTTTCTTAAGAATTTATATTAATTTTTGATACAACGTACAATACATGTGAGAAGTAAAAAAATAATAGATACAACATGTTCGCCATTGTAAATAATCTCCACCTTCATCACTCGTGAACCTCTTTAATTTTTGTGTAGAAAAACTTGTGTAGGTACTTTAAAGAAATATTTCGAAATTTCGCGAGAAATGTGTATGTCTACGAAGATTTAGAAACTTTCAACTATTTTGAAATTCACTAAAAAGCTTATATTAATCTCATTTTTTAAAACAACGAATTAATATTTAAACTACGTCAAAAGTAAAACAATAGACTACTAAAATAACATCGACTATAAATAGAAAGGACAAAAATCCCCTTCGAATCTTTGTAACCTAGACTGCAGATTTTTATGCATTTATACAGAAATTACAGAGATTACACGTAATATAAAAAAAATGCCTCAAAACATCTAAATTGCTATAACATCTACAATATTGCGCAAAACAAATTTCTACCGACGTCTTATCTTTTAATTACACATCCAAAGCTATAAATTTGCATAAAAATCCGCAGTCTGTTAGTCTCGTTCTCCAGAAAGAACTCAGCGCTAAAAAAAAAAAAAAAAAGAATCCAAATCTCGCGAGAAAATTATTCCGACGAAGATTGCTTGTGATCGAGGTTCAGAGGAGGCTTTGTCTCGCGAAATTTTATCTTATCGTGAAACGCTCCTCCCTTGCTCGGGGGCGCGTATTCGAAAAAGATTGATACTCGCAAACAGGCAAAAAAACAACGACGAATCGCAGGAGTCGTTGCTGCTTGGAAACACCGATGATTTCCTGGCATAATGTTTACGCGCTCGCTCGACCGATGTCGAGGAATTGCTTGTCGATAAATTGCAGCTCCGTTTCCTACGCATCGGGGATATTCGCCTCCTTGGCGCAAGCTTCTTTAGTTGTTTTATATTTGTGTGAAATCAACCATATATGTACATGATGGTTACGTATTTTCGTTTCTCGAACAATCACGAGCTAGTTCAATATCCTAGGGATTTTAGATCGAGTGTTATTTTTTTATTATTATTATTATTATTATTATTATTATTATTATTATTATTATTA